TGTGAGAACGCGGGAAGTTCCGTTAGTGCATGCGCCATGCTACGTCATTGCTCTATCACGTACGCACAGTCGCTTCGCGCAATATAAGGTTTGCTAGCTGTGGGACGAGTGGGAAACTTACTTTTGGGACGCGCCTCGTACTAAATCATTTCTTCTCTTATATCCCATCATGATACCAAAAACAAGAATGTGAACTCACAGAAAGAAGTTCGGTGATGGTTTGAATTTCTGTTTACAGCTGGATCAGTTATTCGTATGATGGAGCATTTCCTGACTACTGAAGTTTTCAAAGAAGGACTAAAACGATACCTGCAAATTCGGTATGTCGTTGAACTATGTAAAACCTTTGCAAAATCTTTTACATTCATTAAGGGAAAAGTAAGGAACTCCAGACTGTGAAGGCCTGTTGCTGTGTAAGAGCTACACACAGAATGTACAGCAATCACAGTTTGTGTCTTACATTTCTGAAGAAGTGTATATTAAAACATTAATCTCATTTCAGTCAATATTCAAATGCAAATGAAGAACACCTGTATGATGCAATGAATGAAAAATTCCTGTCAACAAAACCTGAATTATATGAAGACGTTGCTAAAATAATGCATACGTGGACACGACAGCCAGGTTATCCTGTACTGACTATTACTTCTGAAGAAGAGAATCAACTGACAATAACACAGGTATTTGTAGTCGTGAGATTACAGGTTAGAAGACGGCAATCTCCAGACTCACCGCTGTGTAAACCTCAGATGCTACATAGTTTACGGGTTCTCACAGCAGTGAGTATGAAGATGGTTGACTGCTAGGATGTTGTTCCATGTAGTCTAGTACAATTTAACTGATGTTTCAGAGGAGCTTTCTGCATCCATCATCAGGGCGATGAGTAAGCCCAGATGGAAAAGTTATGCTAGATATGGGAGCCATGCTGAGTGGGAGAGGGGGAACTCTTCTGCGTGTGGCTTACCTATCTCCTGATGATGGAGGCAGTAAGCTCCTCCGAAACATAAGTCAGTATCTACCAGACTACGTGGTGCAACAGCCCAGAAAATCGCCATATTCAGTTGCCTGTGTTGTTAACATAGTAATGTCTATTAGTGCATCGCTAATTTCTCTTGCATTTTATTGTGACAGAATTTACTGTGTACAATCCCAGACTTCCATAAACATCCATTTGTAATCTGAGGATGTTTGGGGACTGCAACTAGAGCTACCCATCTGTCTGATGTCAAGTTTAAATGATCCTAATGAAAGTAGGTATTGTGACATTTCAGCCGTAACGCAATGTAATCATATCTGTTCTATATGTGACTAACTGCATGTCATAGATGGATATCAATGAGCTAGGACACTTCAGTCCGTCGAGTGACTAGCTTTGGGTTGGATGGTAGTTCAGTCCCCATTACAGGCTGTGTTCTTCTTTTCGTAATTTTGTCAAGACAGAGTCTGGAGACCACCCAAACTCTGATCAAATGGGTACTTTACTTCTGGCTCTAACTGGCAGGAGCATTAAGCTAAACAATTTTCTCCATCTAGTGCCACTCCCCCACGTCTTCATGGTATGCACACGATTCAGTCATTTTATGTATTTAGGACACAGACATTTACATTGCCTTAAAATCTTACGGCAATATCTAGTCACTGTATAAATAGTCCATAGTCGTAGGTGCATGGGTTTTATTCACTCGTTAATAAATGACCCGCAAATACATTTTTTTAAACAGTAGAAACATACTGTCTATAGATTAGAAACCTTATCAGTTGGGCCCCCTGGTTGAGCTAACCTAATACCTGGTCTGAGGCTAGCAAATTATGGTTGGC